GCCGCTGCTATGGCTGCGCCACACCACTCTGGGGGCCGGGGGAGGAGAGGGAAGCAGGAAGCTTCAGCCCTGCAGCTTCTGCCCAGCGTGTGGAGCTCCAGCTCCAGCCCCTGGATATCTTGGAAGGTAGAAGGCAGGTAGGAGGTGTCCAGGGGCTGCAGCCACACCTCCATGACAGCCCCACCTGGCTTGGGCCTGACCACTGCAGGCATATGCCTGCATTTCCAGAATCAAATGTGAATGTCTGTGCACTTGCAAATCAGTTCAGTCTTTGCAGGCCCCAGTCCCAGCTGCAGCCTGCTGGGAAAGACCCAGACCCAGACCCAGCAGCCCAGTCTGGGCTGGCCCCTCTGCTTCCACCTTCAGCAGCACTAGTAGGCTGCCTGGGCTCAGCCCTGTATCCCCAGGTGCTGGCAAGGCAGGTGGAGGGCAGGGGCCACGTCAGTCAGCTCTGGCCATGCTCCCTCTCTAGTCACTGGATTGAGCATTGCTTCCAGAGTGCTTTCCATCATCCAGTCTCAACAAAAGGTTAAACTGAACACATTGAAACAATGTCAAAGTAGTCAAGTTCTGCCCACAGGAACAAAGCTTGGTGTAAAGGGACTATTCCTAAGGGTCTTCACGAGTGATGGTTGTTTTCCTGTATTCCACAATAGGGGGCCAATAATATCTGGGTTGTGGCTATTAAGGGCAGGCATGGGAAAGAGTGGCAACCCACTGAAATGAGTTTGGTCTGCACTGGTGACAGATCTTGCTTCCTCTTCACCCCTGGCCTGGCCAAATTCCACAGACAGTGGAAATATGGGATTTTTACTGTACTTAGGCCCCGCAGAAGTAAGGACCGTGGTTTGTCCCAGTGATTATACAATACAGCAGTTGTAGGTTTAGATTAGTATGGTCCTTTGTCAACTGGACCAGTTGTTCTAGAACCAAGAGCAAATCTAGGCTTACTTGCAAAGTTGGGCGGGGTGGGGGCTCTGCTTGCTAGGCCATGATTCACATGACCTTCCCTCCTCCTCTTCTAGTTGGGTGGATAGGAAAGTGATAGGAAACAGGAACTCCAGGAGAAGAATGATAAATGCATTGAGAACTAATGTGTCTGTGGAGGGATATAAGGATCTGGTAGATGGAAATTGTTAGCTTCTGCTTTGGGTGAAGTTACATGTTACACTTAGATCACAATAAGGGCATTTAAAATGCAAGCACCCACATGTTAAATCTGGTTTACTCATGCTAGGTGACCTCTGACAATAGGCAACTGGTAGAGGGGGCATGTTCCCCCTCCTGAAATTAGCCCCTGACTCAGCACTGCTCAGGATGGGGCAGGTTTTTTGCCATGTGGGCTGGTGGCATGTTGGAGTGGGGAGCACTAAGCTGCAGTACAGAAGTATAGGAGTGGATATGGGGCTTTTGGTCACTTGAGGTATTAACTCCAAGCCGTGTTACCTAGCTTATGTTAGGGTAACTTCAGTCTGCTCCATGGAGATAAAACAAAACATTTGCAGTCATCCAGCATCCCAGGATACACTGCTTCCAGCCTCCCACCTCCTCCTGGAGTAGGGATAGAGCCCAGGTATCCTAGCTTCTAGTTACACCCCTGCTCACCAGCCCTCTAGTGGTCAGTGCTGCCAGGCAAGAAGCACTATTAACCCTTAATGTGACACTGCTCACAGCATGTTCTTACTTCAACACTTACTAACATTCCACTGATTTAGTATGGTCTAAGTGTAACATGTAACTTCACCCTTTGTCTCACCCAGGGTGGAAGACAAACCTCTCTGTCAGCATGAATCAGCTGGTACTCAGCACCACATGCCACTTGAACCCATGCAGTACAGACTGTTAAACACTTCCATTTAGTCCCTGGGGTCCCCATTATCTGCAGGCCCCAGAACATGGAGGTTTGCAACACTGCAAGAACCAATCACAGTTTCATGTGTTTCACTAGCAGGCCTCCAAACAAACTAAGCAGACGGAAATTACTTTATGAAACATCCTCCAAAATTACAGGTTTATAGGTAACCCTTAACAGCATGCTTTGGACACCTCCCTTGGCAGTCAATGAATCACAGAGGAATCATCTTCCAGTTAGCCCTCCCCAGCTGGGGATACTGCCTTCCAGCCAATCAGACTAGATTCACAATCAAAATAAATTAGAATTGTTTTACCAGCTCCCATGTCAGCATGTAAAACAAACTGTAATAATAAATGATGAATACACAAGTTTCATTATCTTTGTACTTATCTGCAGTGTTTTCTGTGTGCACTTGCTCTGCATACATCAGCTGATACATCCTCAAGCCAAGCCAGTTTTTTCAGTAAGTTAGTAATGGCTATTATGCCCATTTCACAGGAGGAACAATTTAAGGGCTGACTAAAGGCACAGAGGGAATTGGTTTCAATATTAGGATTAAAATGGATAGCATTCTTAAAAACACTCATTCATTTAGCTCTGCCAGTGGGCTTGGTACTTCTTTCATTGTATGGTTCTGTACCCTGGTTGTAACTCCATTACAGTATATTAAGAATAAAACCAGTGGAGATTAGATTTAAGGTCATTGACTTCATTTGAGCCGCACGTGGTTTATACTAGTCTCTGTGCAAGCAGGAGCCAGCCCACTACCTTTTTATGGGAAGACAAGCACGTTATGCAGAATATGAACTGACAAGTAACAAGATAAAAGGGAATGGATGGGTAATAGAAAACAAAACCTGAAACCCAAACTGGCAAAATGATGCCCAGAAATGTCACACAATGTTTTCCTGACTTTAGTACCAGGAGGTCAGTTATCCTGTGTAATAATAATGGAGAAATTTTTCAGCCTCTTGCCAGCTGCTTGATAATAAGAAAAGGTCAAGCAGGCCCCACCATGCATTTAGAAATGAAAATAGCTAGTCACTTCTGCTATGCACAGCTACATTCTTATGCTGCACCAGTGTTATCTTCTTAAATAGGAGACAAAAGGCCCTGGCTAGAAAGCTTGTTTCACTAGAAATAACCATTGGAAATGGAACAAATGTGTTTGGAAGCAGGGGGGAGGGAAATAATTGAAAGGCAGCCCCAGGTGGTATTAGCATTATTTACATTGTATTAGGCCCTAGATATCCCATTCAGAATTGTGCTGGGCGCTGTACAAATAAGCGGGTCAACTTCACATCAAAGGCCAGGTCAACTTCCCCCAGAACGAAACCCTGCAGAATGGCCAACTCACCATCAACAAGGCCTGTGGGAAGAAGGTTACAGGGGTGCAGGGTGCCTGCATTTCCTGCCTCCATCCATGGGTGCTCCATCCATGGATGGAGACACAGAAGCCCAGAAAAAGTCAGCAATACTGTCCTGGGAAAGATTACAGCCAGGGCCTACACCAATTCAGAAAGTCCCCTCAACCACCTCTGCTGGCAGAACTCTTACAAAGCTGCCAATGGAGGTGAAGTTGTCTTTCCCCAGTGGAAATGCCTCCTGCTTTCCCTGGATGGCCAGTCCCCTGTGGGATTCAGAGTAACTCCTTCTTCAATAAGTTTTGGCCTGAATTTGGTTGAAAACCATTGACTTCATTGCACCTGCTCATGCTAGGACTGAATTTGGCCCTCACAAAATGCCATATCCATTTACATGGCATGACTTTTGTCCTCCTATTGCTGACACTACTATACACCCGATTTCTCTTACAGTAGGGACAGCCCTGTGGACAGCAATGGAACTACCACAGATTGCCACCAGAGTAATAGAAATGAAAATGTGACTGGCTGTACAGCTGGTGCCATCATCTTCAGTACAAACTGTAGTGGCCTGACATTTGTATACTGGAGGAATAACAGCTATCAGTGGAAATGTAGCCAGGGCTGAAGCATCAAATACAGCATTATTGGGCAAAAAAATTACCAATATCATATTGACTTGCCTCCCAGATTTCACACTTATGGTTCATGTGTACATCCAGAGAGAATTTGGCTCACTTCAGGACACTTAGTAAGGATCTGCCCCTTCATGATATATTGGTGCATGGCACACCTGTACGGTATAAACCCACAGGCATGAAAAAATATGGCCTGCCCTTTTTTTGAAAGCTATTAAACTGAAAACACATATGTTTTTATCTTCCCCGCCTACAAGGTGTATGTTGAGTATTTTCCATACATTTATACTCATGGAAACAAATGAAGACAGGATACAAATTAGTCTTTAGTGCCATAAAGCAGACCGAGTGCATGATATAGATCTGTCCTAAGTGGCCATAATGAAAACCAAGGGACAATAACTCAGTAACCAAAGAATAAATCACACATCAGCCCAAGTAGGATGTTTAGCCAGTCAATGGCAGTGAGATCAAGACATGTGCTGTACGTACAAAAAGACCCAGCTCGAGGTGTGTGTATTTACATACCCACCCCTTATGCGGAAAGAAGCTACAAACAGGATCCTTTTTAAAGTCATTCAACATGAAAGCAATGCCACAGCAGAACGACATGGGCAAATCCAGGCTGCAAACAAAACAAATCAGATACGCTTCTTTTAAACTCATCTCAGCTTGGCTGCACTGACTACATCAGTGCCATTTCACTGAGGCCCAACCCAGGTGTTCCAGGGGATCAAACCAAGCCCTTGAAAATTACCTTCCTTTCTAATTAGCAATTGCCTTCAATGTTTCCCATTTTATGACGGTGAAGGAAAACGACGACAAATCCAGGAAAAAGAAAATGGTCCAGAGAGTGAGGTTAGTAAAGATGAATTCCCAGAACATTTCTGCCAAGACTTCCTAATCAGCCCACATCTCCCTCCTCCTCTCCATCTTTCTCTCTCCATCCTCCCCCACTCCCTCTCCCTTTCTCCGTCTCTCCCTGATAGCTCAAATGAAAGTCAGTTTCCCAAGCCAAATGAGGATACTCCGAGCAACAAGATCAGAAATACACCACATCATCAGCATGAGAATAATGATCCCTTAATTCAAGCATTGCGACTAATAAAGCCAGGGCTTTCTGGCACTGCTGCTGCTGCTTACCATGTCAAAACCAGAAGATGCTGAAAAGCGAGAGGTGTGCAGGTTTCATCCATGTTCCCTGCTACGGAGGCTGTTTCAGCGCCCAACATCAGCAGCTGCCGGGATTTTTTTTTTTCCTGCTTGGTGATGCTGAGGATGGAAACCACCCACCCACTCACAGCAGCAGCAGAGGCGGCAGCAGCAGTCGCCTCAGCCACCTCCCTCCTTGGAGGAGGAGGGTGATGAGCTCACAGAGCGAACCTGGACTTTGCAGCAAGCGCCGCCTCCTTCTCCTCCTCCCTCCCCTGCTGCAGAGCTGAACTGTCTCTAGGCTCCATGGCAACAGCCATAAAAGATAGAGGGAAAGAGGAGAGATGGGGGAGGGAAGGGCAGGGAGAGACTGAGGCTGCTTCCTACAAGGGATGCTGCTCTAGCCAAGGGAGCATCATTCCAGTGACTCTTGTACCTTATTAGAGCATCACCCAAAGCAAGGCCCCTACAGACACTAGCAACCCTGCTTGCAGCGAGCTTCCTCAGTTGAGTCCAGGCATGCGAACAAGGTTTGAGGGCACAATTTCCACACTTCAGATGGGCATTTGTGAGCCTGCAACAGTCTATTGTACAGTAGGAAGTGAAGCTGTGGGGAGGACAACTAAGGAGGCCCGCGGGAAAATTTAGCGGAGAAAAGGTCAAGCTGAAGGACACCGGATGTGTTATGGAGCTACAAAAAGCTAGGTAGGCCCACATGTCAACTCCACCTTCATTAAAATTTAAAGAGCTCCAGTAATCCACAGCGCTGGCTCAAAGCAAGCTGCAGTGGTTGGACCATAATGACAAGACGCTGGAGTAATATTTCGAACGTCATGTTTCCTAACACATAATCCTGGGTTTTCCTCCTGTGGTCACGACCCATAGGATGGGGCAGGTTGGAAATAACTGTCAGGGTATCCACAATATCCTGGCCTTCCATAATGCTAAAGGGAAAGGGGACAGGTATGGATAAAGGGGCCACAATACGAAAACCATAGAGAGCCATCGTCCTACAGCATCCAAGGGCAAGAAAGTGCTGTCCAGAAAGGGAACAAGCAACAGGCGACTGACCATCCTGCACAATAAATTTCAAAGATACGTAAGGGCCTAATCCTACTCAGAGTGCATCAATGGAAAGAACTAATAGCTTTAGTCAGAACTGGCTCAATCCCCGAGTTAATATGGATGATAGGTACTTTACACAGGACTGAAAAAACAACCACATTTTTTTACTATGTGTTGAAAAGGTAGTATAGAGTGACTAACTAGAAAGACGAAAGTCTAGGTGTCCAGGGAGGCTGTTACTACTTTTCGTCCTGTAATAAATAAATAAATAAAACTCACCTCTGATGCCTACAAAGAGACCTATAATAAGTAAAACAATAATTTCTGGCATTGTTCTATCAATGAGCCACAAAGGTCTTTACAAGCAGGTTAAGCATTATTTTTCAGAGATAGGTTTTTTTCCCCCCAATAGAAAAACTAGACATTTTTTTTGGAAACCAAAAAGTTTGAGGGAAAAAAAAAACCCTGTTTGGTGGAAAACTGATTTTGGATCAAAAACTGTTCTGATGAAGAATGCTTGATTGGCGTTTAGTCTCATGTCTATATTATAAAGGGGGGAACTGGAAGAAAGACAAGTGCGCCTTGAACCCGAGTAAGCTACAAGGCTTAGATTAGGACTCTGTGGGCATATCTACACATGGCAATTTAAAGCACATTAGCCATTTTTAAGGCACATTAAGGGCAAGGGTTTACATGTGCACAGCCTTAATCACCTTAAAAATGGTAATTTTAGGCTATTCGTGCCTAAATTTGATACCGGCTTTTGCAGGTATCAAAAGTTAGGCACAAATAGCTAAAGCAAATGTGCATTAAGTTTAGGTGTGTGTCAAAGCATGTGTGGATATCCCCTGATACCTCTACAACCACCCTCTGGTGTTCTGTCCCCTGAATATCCTGAAATGCCTCTTTAAGTTTTACAATTTCAAACAGTAATTGTCAGAAGGGGAGACTGTGCACTGGAAACAAAAACCTGGGGGTCAGGAACCTGAGAGGTACATGTATGAATGTAACACAGATCTCTTGTCTGACCTTAGCCACGGCACTTAAATAAATGTATCCTTGCTTTAGCTAACTCAGAAATATTTCCTTTGCTCAGGGTGGTATTTGTATTTCTTTAGATGTATACCATATAGCTATAAGCCCCTCTTTTGCAGTGGGTGTCCATACCATAGTTTAACACACACAGTACAAAAGTGAATCTAATTACCTCAGCCCTCGTGTCCTCTCCCTCTTTGGCTGGCCTCAGAAAGAAATGCACTTCATGTTTATATGAAGTGTGAGGCAAGTGGATGATGCCAGAGAAAACCTTTATAGTATGTTTAATAGATTTATTGGATAAGGGATCTTCCTTTGGGTATTTAGCATATCCAGTGTTTGAAGAAAATTTCAGTGCCCCAAATAAAAGCAAAGCGGTATATTTAAAAGCTGTTTTCCCTATGTATCTATTGCAAACATTTTCTTTTTCATGTTTATTGATTATTAAATGTAAAGCTTAGAAAATGGCCTTCTTTCAAGGCAAGCATAGTAGCTGCAAAAGCTGAATCATTAATGGAGGGGCTGAAATACACTCAAAAGAAAGAAGTAGCTGGAAAAACACCAGTGCTCAGATCCTTTGTGCTGGAGGCAAAAAGGGAATTATTGGCTCTGGCAGATCACACCAGTGTAATAAGAAAGCCTACAGCAGAGCAAACATCATGGTCTTTTGTGCTGCACTCCCTGATTTGGGCATCCCATAATCCCCATGTGCTACATCAAGCACTGTGGTTGAGAACTCACAGGTGGCTGGAACTCAGCCCCTCCCTGACTTGTGCTGTGCGCTCCTCCGTGATGATCAAGAATAAGAGCTGGAAATTTTTCAGGGTTATATACCCTTAAAATACAGATGCGTCAAGGTAAAATCCAAAAACCTCCAAAGTGCAGGGCCATTTTAGCTTAATGTTCTCCTGTCTCAGCCCAGTAAAAATAAGGGATGATTCTGATCTCCCAGGCACTGGTTTTGCACTGGTGTAACTCTTATTTGGTAATATTCCTGATTAATGCCTGCATAAGACTGAGGTCAATGCCAGGAGCTAGCTTACTGAAGTTCAGCTCTTTATTAGGACAGCTCCAAATACTGTCAGATGAAGACGAAAGGTTTTGTTTAGTCATCCCTCTAGAAAGCATTATAGTCTGGAGTTGGGCAGAATTTTGACAGTAAAACAAAAAGTCCAGTTGTAAAATGCTAGCCGACTTTGCTGGTTTATCCTGTGGGTAAACCAGCTCGGGTTCAATGAAATTTCATCACAGCCAGAGCAGGGAAACTGGAGGAACACTACATGGTCACAGAAGTAAGCTCAACAGATGACCAACGTGGAGGGTGGGAAACTGCAAATCCTCAAGTCCAGCTCCACTCAAGATAGGCCAAAATCAAAACTAATTCTGTGCACCAGAACTCCTGGTTTTCACCCCACTTTAGTCTGGAATGCATTTCCTTCGTTAGCAAAGGATACTTCAAATTAAACAGTGTTTACTTGTACGTTGTCCTCTTTGCTAATAGCTTGATAAGGAGATATGATGCATCTTGTCTGTTAAGAAAACGTTTAGGTGAACCTTGGTCCTACACTATAATTAATAAAACTACACTGTAAATGAGGAGGATAAGAAGAAACATCAAATAGCTATCCAGTCAATGAGCACCATGCATTGTGGGCATTAACTGAGACAGGAATCCTGTGAAATAATTAGGGGTGCACCAATAGAGATTTTTTGGGCTGATACCGATGGCCGATTTTTAACAAGCCATATTGGCTGATACCAGCCCAACTGCCAATATGTGCTTGGGGTGGGCAGCACCAGGCTGTGCTTGGGGTGGGCAGCAGCGGCACAGGGTGGGGGGTTATGGGGGTGGGGGACTGCAGCCACCCCAAAATTCACCGTAGCCTTCCTCCCAGTGCCACCACTGCCTGCCCTGAGTGCAGCCCCTTGCTGGGGAGAACGTGACGCCACCCTGACCCCAGCTCACAGTAGCAGCCCAACTAAGGTTGCACAATAACCTTTTGGCATTTCCTTTATTTGAACATTCAACGTTGCAAACTTCATTGCTTTTTAGCCCTGTTTTTTGGTTATGATATTGATTTAAGATCACATTCTAAAGACATTTTTTCTTTCATGACCACAATGGTTGTTAATAAGGAGTTAGTACTTTTTCCAGAACCACTGTGGTATCTCAGACATCTCTGTTAGCTGTTACCTATTTTAAGCAGAGGCATTTTCCAGTATCTCAAATCACCCCATAAGATGCCTGTTGTTAAATATTGACTTTTTGACTGTAACCACAGCAAGCTTACTATTCCAGGTTAGTTTCTAGTTTTAAGCAATAGGCTTTTTGACATTAAATTATATTGTAATAATTTAGATGCTAGCTCTTGATGCATTAACAGCAGTTTATCCAGTAATTACAAACAAATAAGGGACACAATTTGTAAATCATTTCTTCAGAAGAAGGGTGAGTGCATGAATGAATACTTTGTAATTTTTTTAAAGCCAATAATTTTTTTGTAGGTGATATCTTTTATTGAACCAACTGCATGGGTGGTATAAACAAAAGCTTGTTTTTTGTCTACCACACTACCCTTCCTCAGGTGTGTGTGTAATCTAAAAAAAAACATTAAAAAAATCTAGATGCATACATACAATTAATAGCCACCTAGTTAATTATAAATTAGCACCTGATTTCAGCTACACCTCACTGCAACGAGTTCAGCTAAGTTACTCTGAATTTACACTGATTTACCAATTTCAGCCTAAATTAAAAAGGGGTTCAGCGCACAAAAAGGTTGAACTACATAGGTTCTTGGAATAAATTTTCAGTTGCATAATGACTGTTTATGGTTGTTCAAATAAACTCCTTATGATTTGCTATGGAGACAAATAAAAATAAAACCCTGCCCATGCTAAGGCATGCTCTGCTATTGATCTAAAAGACAAAACTCCCATTGACCATCATGGACTCAGACAAGACCTCATGACTAAAATCATGCTCGCAGGAATAGGATAATGACTCGCAAGTACAAATTTTAACTATAGCTTGCATGCTGCCAAAGAGATTAAACATAGCTCTGTTTCTTTTATCGTGATGTGGCTTTTCAGTCCTAAAGTGATATTTTTCTGGACAGATCTAGATTT